CATGGGCACAGCCAGCTCAGCCAGGATCTCGTCATCCAGAATCTGTCACCGGGGAGAAGGTTTCACTGCAGGTAGCCCTGCCAGCACAGAGGTTCCAGAGGCACTTAGTAGGGGTGGGGATCTCTGCACAAGCCTCTCCATCCTGAACCTCTCATGGCTGGCAGCTGCCTCCTCCCATATGGCTTTCCAATGCCTCTGAACATTCTAGATCCTTCCTCTGCAGCCCCTTACACTGTGGTCCTCCACTCCCCATCCTAAGCCTCCCAAATGCTCTCTCAGCCCAGCCCTTGTATTGAGTCCTCCAACTTCTGGGTGTCTCCAGGCTGGGTACCTCCCCATCCAGGTTCTCCTGGAGGATCTGGAGAACCTCCTGATGGTCAGGCCCGTCCAGCTTCTTGATAAAGTAGAGGAGCTCCCACCACTCCGCCTGGGTCAGGTGCTCACTCTCCTCAGCATCCTCATCCTCAGGCAGCACGTAGGGCACTGCATAGAGCTCTGTCATGGGCTTCCACCGCCAGGAAGGCAAAGCTATGGAAACAGGTCAGAGGGCACAGGGATATCATTGCCTACCCAACTCCTGTGCTCCTGTGCTCAGAGCTGACCCTGTTTCCTCTTGGGGCTCACCTACACCCAGAGCTCCACTGACCACTGCCCCCTGGTACTCATTGGCCTCAACCACATCCTCAATGTCTTCCTCAAAGCCCAGAATTTCCAGCATGTGCCAGTGTACCCAGTAGGTGCGGCCCGTCGACTCCCACAACACCTGGTGGATATGGGAAAAAAGAGAGGGAAGGAGAAGAGATGGCTCACTTCAAGACTGGCTATGCTGTGGCCCAGTGATGAGGACATACAGCCCTCAGGCTGACCACCTGGCCAGGTTTAGAGCAACCTCCAAAGAACACAATGCTGGCATACGGAGAACACACACACACAAAGGATGACCTGTCCTATGGGAATAGGCTCTGCTTCTCCTCCCACCCACCCGTACCCACACTTCCTCCTGGCCTCAGCTACTCTCTCTCTGACCCTGACCTTTGGGAAAGTCTTGCTTTATCAGTTTTTTTCCTGGGAGTCTTTCTGACCTCATAGCCTACCCAACCCTGATTTTCTCAGCCCTCCAAATGGCCCCCTTCTCACCTCCCTGACCTCTTTTCACCACTCCAATCCCCACAGGGTTTTTTTTTTTTCCCCATGGGTGGCCTGTCAGAGCCCCCTGTATGGAAGCCCTAGTTATGCTTCCCCAGCTAGAGCCCTGACAGCATCTCACACATGTCCTGGCTCACCTGCACGGGGGGCACACCGTTGTTGCTCTGACGGAACTCTCCCTCATCCCCAGCGCTGACCTCCTCATAGTCATCCAGCATGCGCACTCGCATCCCAGCCTGCAGCGTCTCTCGCACATACAAGGCATAAGTATTGCCACTTGCAAACTCAGAGCGAGGGCGGAACCTCCTTGACCTCCTAATGGAGGGCTGGGCCCGGGTGGGTGGCAGCCCGGGGCCAGCCTCTGCCAGTTGGGGCTGGAAGATGGAGCAGGAGGACCGTGCCAAGGGCCTTTGTCTGTTCAAGGCCCAGTCCCAGCGCATGGCCTGCACCAGCTCTGAGATCAAGGTGCCCATGGCCATGCTGAACTCCAGCTCCAGTCGATCCCTTTCCCCACTCAACTCCTCGGGACCAGAGTTGTTCTGGGCTCCTGGTTCTGCAGCACTGTCATTCAGCTGGTCCAGAAGGGAAGTGACGTGCAAATAGCGCTTCACCAGGGAGAAGAGTAGCCTTCCTGGGACCTGTAGGATGCAATCTTTGGCCTACATCCACCTTGTCCCAGCTTTAGCTCCTCTTTCCACACCATCCTTTAAGGGCGGGTAAAAAGGCTTGGTACTTTGGTCTTGTTTATAGCCCCCCCGCCAAAACCTCCCCACAGAATACCTGTGGCAGCTGGATGCCTTCGAAAGACATAGGGTGTTCAGAGAGTGTGGCCTGTGCAAACAGAGCTAGCAGAGCACAACGGCTGTCAAAATCCAGGTGTTTCTCAATGGCCTCTTGCTGGCTTAGTGACAGAAGGATCTGGGTCCGAGTCCCTGAAACTCACACCCAGTCAGTAACTGCTCACATTGCCCTTCTGGGCATCCCTCCTAGACCCTCTTCTCTCTCAGTCCAATCCCTTTGTCACCCTTTGGGGATGAAATGTTTTGCTAATTAGCTTAAAAAAACTTACTATCTTTCCTATATTCATATTTCATATACATATATATCCTGCAGTAATCAAATACCTTAACTCTTCCTTTGCGTAGAGATTCAATTAATGTGAGATTCTTGAGGATTCAGTCCTTTCTCTTTCTTTTCTAATTTTTTTTAAAGTAAACTCTAGGGATCCCTGGGTGGCTCAGCAGTTTAGCACCAGTGGTTTAGCACCTGCCTCAGGCCTAGAGCATGATCCTGGAGACCCAGGATCAAGTCCCACATCGGGCTCCTTGCATGGAGCCTACTTCTCCCTCTACCTATGTCTCTGCCCACCCCTATGAATAAATAAATTAATTAAATAATAAATAAATAAATGTAAACTCTATGCCCCAAAAGGTGAACTTATAACCCTGAGATGAAGAGTTGCATGCTCTTCTGAATGAGCCAGTCAGGCACTCCCCCACCCAACCCACAACCTGTCCTTCCTCTTCCTACAGAGATGTCCCTATCTACCTTCCTATCTCCTTTTCTTCCAACTCAAAGACAAGGACAACAGAATTATTCAGGCACTGATGAGGCAGAGGCTCTTGCCACAGTGTCATGTGAGGCCCCAAGCTAACCAGCTTCCCCTTCTTTTCTCCCCACACTGTTCCTCACCAGCATCATGGGAGGCCAGGGCTTGTATCATCCGGCCTGCACTCCAGCGAATCTGATAATCAGGACTACTCAACATGTGCATGAGCAGGTCCAGGACCCTTGGGTCTTTGAATACCCCAGTCAGGGGCTCAATGCTGGCATAGGCGCTGAGTACATGGACAGTGTGAAGTAAAGGAGCAGGAGGGATGGTACCCACACACTCTTCCAGCTGCCGGAGGGCCCTCTGAATTAAAGACTTCACATCAGTTTCCATTTCCCCCAACACAGATTTGTCCAGGGCCCCAGCCTCCCCTGTGATCTCCTGAGAGGGGCCAATGACCTGGCCGTCCTCGCCCAGCATCTTGTGGCAGTTGGCATAGATCTCGTCGTTGGACATCCACAGTAGGATATGCTCAGCCTTGCAGTCCACTTGGCTAGAGCCCCCTTCCCCTTCATCCCCACGCCTGAGGATGAGCCAGCGGATCTGGTACTCAGGATGCCCATCGTGGCCTACCCGCTGGCGGATCAGCTCATCTGGGTAGGCATGCAAGCCAGGTCCCAGAGGCACTCTGAATTCCCTGTAGCGGAGTTCCCCCACCATTCTGGCACCTGAGACACACAAGGAAAAGAAAACAGGCAAGCTAAAATGAGAGTGGGAGTTCAGAAAATCAAGGACATCCAGGAATTGGGGAAGCAAATGTGGTAACAGCTGTCCAGTTGGCTGGAGTAAAGCAGGGCCCAGGAGTTGCCTGCTGCAGGCTGGGTGGGGCCAGACCTAAGCAGGGGAACACTGGGGTGTTTGTTCTAAGAACACAAAATTTGGTTGAAAGGGGGTTTTGAAGGCCCTGCAAACTGGAGTGGGTTGGTTTGGAGCAGTGGGAAGGGGACAGTGTGGGCAGGGCAACCTTGGAGTTACAAGTGAATCCCAGGGCCCTAGGACAGGCAGCAGCCCTGAGGAGATATATAAAGCCCGGAGGGGTGTGGGGGGTGGGCGTGTGTGTTGGGGAGTGAGACCCTGAGTGCCTGGAAAAGGACACTAGGTCTGATGGTTGAAGCGCAGGAGTGTGTCAAGGAGACAAGAGATCCGGAGAATTGTCGGTGGGTTGGGGTGGGGTGAGGGCAAGGCGCGATGGGCCGGGAGGAGACGCTGGTGGGCTGCAGGGGCGAGGACTGGGGACACTGGAGCAGCAGGGCCGGTGGGGGCGACGGGAGACCCAGGACAGGGTGCACAGGAGACACGGTGGGTGAGCGGCGAGGTAGGTGGACCCGAGGAGCTGGGGGCGCGTGGGAAGGTGCAGGGGAGGAGGCTAGACGGGATAAACGAGAACCCCAAGCACTGTGGAACTAGGATAGGGGGACGCGAGATCGAGCGGGCGCGCGGCCGGTGGGCGAGTGTACAGAGGAAAACCCAGGGTAGGGGCAGGGGCCGCGGCGGGGCTCTGGCCACCTCAGAAGTCGATGGGGGTCCCGGCGCGAGGCCTGTCCTTCGCTGAGCTAGGGACGCAGCGCAGACGATGGCGGCGGCGATGCTGGCAGAGGTTTGGGCCCCGCCTGCGCCCCCGAGGGGGTCTAAGCGGAGAGGCGGGAGGGGGCGTGCCTCCGAAGGACGGGCGAGCGGGGGCGTGGCGCGCAGAGACCGAGCACCCCCGGGCGGCCACTGTCACCGCCCGCGCGCACAGGTCAGCGGCCGCCGGGGCGAGGCGGGACCGGGCTCAGCCAGCGGCGCCGCCCGCCCAGCTCTGGGGCTCCGCCACCCGCCCGGAGCTGCGGCTCATTTCCGCTGACCCAGCGGAAAGCTGGGGGCCCTAGGAGAGCGCTGGGGCGGAGTCGCCGGTGCCACCTCGGCAACGGGCGGCACCTCTTCCTCTGCGCCGCCCTTTCCTCTTCCTTTCCGTATTCCCTCCTCCCACCGGAAGTGCTCTCCCCAATTCCCGAAGTCAGAACCGAAGACGACCTTGGAGGTCTTTATTCCCCCTCCTCCCATTATATTAAAAAAAAACAACAAAAGACAAAAAAACCCCACGAGACGGGGGTGGGTGGGGTGGCTAGAAAAGAGGGGAAGAGCTCCAGTCTTTGCCGCATAACGTCCTTTCCTTTCTCTTCCATCCTTGTTTGCACCTGTGTTCCCCCACTCCCCCAGGTCTAGTATGTACCATCTTCCCTCCCCAAAAAACAGTAACAGATAAAAATAGGAGCGATTTTATTAGAATTCAGGGATATCAGTTTTGGGCAGCTGCCGAAGGCAGCTTGACGTAACTCTTCATGGGAGGCAATGGTCGAATCTTGCGGCCAGCCCAGCCCCCCTTTCGGTGCCATAGCCCGCTGGAAGGCCTCTTGCCCAGCCAGCGGTTCCGCCCAGCCTTGCCGATGACCCGTTTGTTATGATCAACGTTGGATACCCGGCCCACTGTTGCCATGCACGTTTCCAGAACCTGACAGAGAAAGCGGATGGAGGAGAATGCACCACTGGGAAAGAACATGACGTTGATTTCCTGACTCTGGGGAGGCTTCTTACACTCACTGAGAGAAGGGAGAGGACAGGAAAAAACCACAGCATCATTGAACCTGAGTGCAGGTCCTATGGTAATTTGAAAACAAAAGGCACTATTCCCTCTCCCATTATAGTGCCAGCCTGACAGGGCATGCCTGGTCACAAGGCAGAAAAGGACACACCTAGCTCAGGGTGGTTCCTAAAACACCTGGGAACTATCCCAGACAAGAAAGGTGCATTCCAATAATTCCTCCTTTGCTGATCCCTCCCACGTATACTCACACACACCTGCATCTGCCTCTTGGACGGCAGCTGGATGATGGCTGTTCCATTCACTTTCCGAAGCAGCACACCACATGTCCCTGGGGAAGAGGGAAGCCACTTTGCTGTCTTCCACAAACGAGGAGGCGGGGGAAAATTTACAGGGGGACATAGCCCATACCCTGCCCTTGCTTTGCCCTTTAGGAACAGATACCCTGAAGTAGGATGCACACAATGTTTTAGGTCAAAACACAAGCACCTCTCCACTCTCGTTTTTCTTCTTTTTTTCTGCCAGAGGACTACATGTGGGGCCATGAGTTCAGAGAATTGTGACCTCAGGTACCCTTTGGTCTTCCAAATTTTAAGACTCCCCATCCCAAAGCAGGTCCTTTCCTCATACCTGCGGCTCGGATATACTGGGCCCCCCGGCCAGGCTCACTCTCCACGTTGTTGATGAGGGTTCCCACAGGCAAGGCCCCAAGAGGATGTGCATCCCCTTCCCGAGCAGCAACTAAAAGACAGAACTTCATCAGCACCAGACCCCTTGCATCCTCCAGGCCCATACACATCTGGCGGCCCTCTTACCTGCCATTCGGCCTATGTGGTCAGAGTTCAGGATTATATCTCCAGCCTGCATGTTTTCTGTGGCAACGATCCAGCGTTTCCGGCTGCCCCCAGCAACCAGAGCTATGTCTGCTGATCTGTGAGGGGTGAAGACATATGAGCAGATGATCTAGGCAGCCCTACATGTTCTGAAAAGCCACAGATGAATCATTCAGCCACACCATCATCTCACATCCCAACTTGCCTACAGGGATCATAGCGGACCATGATGACCTTCTCTTCAAAAGGTCCTGGCTTTGTTTCCAGCTCAGGCCGGAACCGCAGAAAGTCAATCATGCGATAACGCTGCTTGTGGCCCCCGCCAATACCATGCACTTGGATTCGTCCTGTGGTCAGGATAAGTGCAGAGACATGACCCAGGTCAGATGAATCAGCTCCCAGCAGGGGAACAGGCTCATCCTGGGAAGACAGCAATACTTCCTAACATTATGACACACCAGAAAATAATAAAAAATTTGCATAGTGCAGTGGGGTAAATGGGGGTGGGGAAACACCTACATGAAGCTTGGTAAAAACATAATTATAGGATATTGAAATAATATAAGACTTCGAGACAAAATCGTTATAAATTAGTGAATCCAGTAAGTTTACGGAGAGTGATGTAAATAGAGCTCAACTGTTGTAAATTTCTGAAGGGTGTGAAGAAAAATGTCATGAGCTTCATGTGTATGTCTGGTTTTCTTTCTTTCTTTTCTTTCTCTTTCTTTCTTTCTTTCTTTCTTTCTTTCTTTCTTTCTTTCTTTCTTTTTCTTTCTTTCCTCCCTCCCTCCCTCCCTCCCTCCCTCCTTCCTTCCTCTTTCTTTCTGATTTTATTTATTTATTTATTCATGAGAGACACAGAGACAGAGAGAGAGAGAGAGGCAGAGACATAGGCGAGGGAGAGGCAGGCTCCATGCAGGGAGCCCAACGTGGGACTCAATCCTGGGTCTCCAGGATCACGCCGTGGACTGAAGGCGGCACTAACGCACTGAGCCACCAGGGCTGCCCTACCTAGATGTTCTTAAGGAACACAGACCACCTTTGTGTTGCTTTGTATTCTCCTCTCTGGTTCTTAACACACATACTATATACAGGAATCCAATAAATGCTTTTTTAATTACATTCTTCTGCCTGTCAAGAAATAGGCCTAGAATCCTAACATGTTTTTCCCCTTTAATGCTTAAATCCTCCTGGTCTTGCTCTTACCTGTGTGGTTTCGGCCCCCAGACTTCCTCATCTTCACTGGCGTAATGGTGTACTTGGTACGACTCTTCCAGGACACAACATTGGCATTAAGGGCCACAGAGGTAAGCACTGGGCGGCAGGGGATCAACACTGAGGAAGAGGGCAGCTGGAGAAGGGTACTACTTGTTACCTAGAGATAAACAAAAATCTTTTTAACTTGAAAGGTAACTGAAGGAGAAGCATCAGAGAACCAAGGGTGGAGGAGGCATAGACCAAGTAGCCTACTTTCTTCCAGGAATGTCCCAGATTAGCTGTTCAAAAACTCCACTCTTTACTGCTTGCACAAATACCAGGGTGGAATGTTTACCCAGGGGTATGTATATTGATTCTCTCTCATCTGATCCTATAACCTCCGAAGTATTTCTTCAATGGCATGTTCTTCCCGTCGTGCATCACCTTCCAAACTTGGCTCAGAACCCCTCTTCTCTGGGAGACTCCTCCTTCCCTAAACAACTCCCTTTTCCAAGCCTGGCAATTTTCACACACCCATAGCCACCATCAGCGCCAGTGCCTTTTGCCCCTCTGTATTCTGTTTCTGGGAGTTTTCCAGATGTGAATGGGGTGGAGGGATCATTTGTCTTGTTCTCTGCTGTATTCCCAGCATTTTAGAGTAAGTTACCTTGGTTTTGAATTTTAAGTATGCATCTGCCAAAGTCTACCATCATCCAGAAAGGTCCAGAGGAACAAGACTTAAAACTTTTCTGTGACTTACCAATCGTCCACAAGGGACATAGAGGATACCTTTCCTTCGGCTCCTAATCTTGTTATTTTGCCCCGCATTCTCTAATCTCAGCAATAATTCATCTTTAGTGGTTAAGAGCCCAGATTGTGAAGCCAGACTGTCTAGCTCCAATATTTGGTGTATGACCTTGGGCTGCCAATCAGTTTTCTCATATATAAAATGGTAATGACAACTGCCTTATACAGTGGTTGAAAGGAGTTCATTTCTTTAAATTATCTATTACTTATGCTTGGCTTACGATTGGTACTATCAGTTATTATTGAACCCTGTACAGTGGCCTGTAAAATACTTTCATCTCCATATCTCATCCGAGGAATCCGCGGCCCGGTGGGACAGGAACACTTAACAAATCAGAAAGCTGAGGCTGAGAGTGATTTATTCAAGCGCTCGGGCCGGGCCGGCGTGACTCCTGACCAGACTCATTCTCCGCCTCCCAGGTCGGGGTGCCCTCTCCGGCGGCCCGAACAGAAACAGCATTTCCAGATAGGGTGGATTACCTGGGCTGCCGGCAGCAGGCCCGGGCCGAGGGCAGCGACGGCTGGGGGCGTCAGGCTCAGGGAGCCCAGAGCGCGGGTCAGTGCCCTCAGGGCCATGAGGAGACCGAGGCTCCGCAGGAGTCACCGCACCACCATTACTTTTAGTCAGGCCGCCTGGCGTCTATAGATGACGCCACGAATCCTGGTGCGGTCGCTCCTTCATGACGTAAAGAGGTGGGCAGAGCCTCGGAGACCAAGGTGCATACACACCTCGGTGCGCGGGGCCAGAGCCAATCCCCGGGCGGCCCTTAGGTCGCGTGACTGGGGAGCACTCGGCCCCTCCCCTCGGAGCCGTCAAAACAATTGCCTCGAGCGGCAGCCATGATTAATTTAAAGGGGCAGTACCGGCAAGGGAGGCAGCCAGAGCGACAGACTGCGGGTGAGTCTTCGAGGGTACTTCTGGGGCTGAGGGCTGAGGTCCCGTTACCTCTTTTCCGCATTCCCGGACAGATGAACAAATTCCCACCAGCTGACCTCGCACAACTCCAGACTGGCTGAAAAACTCCGCCCCCTGCGAGTCTTCCCGCCCCTCGGCGTCCAGACAGACGGACAGACGGCCTGCCCCGCCCCCTGCGCTACGGACAGACACGTTGACCTCGGGATTGTCGGGCGGCTGGGTGCTCGCCGGTGCGGCGGGCCTCGGCCGGCCACCCGCACCTCCCCCCACCGCCATCGCCCCCGCCCGTTTCACTCTGTCCCCACCCTGGGCCCCAGGGCAGGTCGACAGCCGGGGACATTTCTCTCCCGCATTCCCAGGCTGGGAGACCAACTCCCGGCGCCGCGTTTCCCTGTGACCCTACAGCCGCTCTGAAGACCTGCCATTCTTTCCTGCATCTTCAGGCGTCTGAGAGGCACCCTGAGGTGACTCCTCTTGGAGCCTATTACTAGGTGGTCATGACAAAGACAAAGCCTTGAAAGTGAATGGCTCAGGAGTGACCAGGTCTCCCTCCTCTCCCTTCCCAGACACGCCCCTGGCCACAGGTCTCGGATCAAGTATCACTCCATTCTTGGGAGAAAATAGCTCCCAGTGGCCTGGGGTGGAAGGTTGGCTTCAGGAAGGAAGGGGGACGGACGTTGGTCGCCTTTGAAGGCCTTGGAGGTAGAGAGGGAGGGTGCTGCGCTGAGTAGGGCTCTGTGCCAGGTCCTCTGGGTGGCTGTGAAGTGGAGAGAGAACGGGTGGGAACGCTGGACTTCTGGACTTTGGGCAGGGCAGATCCTGTGAGTACCTGGCTACTGAGTTTCTTCCGGGCTCTGGCCTGAGTGCCACAGGCAAGGGCTCTGCTCTAAACCGGTAAGAGTCCTGGAAAGATGAGAAACAAGGTCTTTTGAGGAGGTGGGAAGAGAGCCTGGCATCTGGCAGGTGGGAAGTATTGGTTGAAGGCCTAGCGGGGGAAGAGGCAGTTTACTAGGTTTGGAGATGCTGGCCTTGGCTCTGAGGGTGACGGAGTCTGAAGACTTTGAGCTTCCTGGGGGACTCTCATCTGGGTCCTGCAGTGAAGGTGCCTTTCTTCTTCTCTCCCTCTTCCCTCTAACTTTGAAACCTGTACCTTTCCCATTTAACAAAACCTCTGTACCATTTTCTTTATATCTTTTGTTGGCTTTAACCCTGTTAACTTTGCAGCATTCTCCAGACACCCTCTGTGTTCCCTCTAATGCTGTCTCTCATCTGATTCCTTTTCCTATTCCTAGCCCAAGCGCTATTTCCAACAACTTTTATATTCTCCTCCTAAGTGCTAAATTTGTTAGCTGGTTCTCAGCACTTTTGTTCCTCTATAGTCTTTCTTCATTCGAGTCAATTCTTCTTCCTGTCTCTTTCCCACAACTTTAGCTTTGTAGGCTCCCTCCCCACTGGCCACTGTCTCTCCAATTAAACCAGAAGATCACCCATACTCTCTCTCATCCCTTCCCTTGGATCCTTACCACCCTCTAACCAAGGTGCTCAGTCTCTCTTATCTTTACGTCTGCTGAGTTCTGTTGTTTCTCCTCAGCCCAGGCAAGGTCCCCCTGGCTAAGATGTCAGGCCTGGTGTTGGGTCAGCGGGATGAGCCTGCAGGGCACCGGCTCAGCCAGGAGGAGATCCTGGGAAGCACTCGGCTGGTAAGCCAGGGGCTGGAGGCTCTACACAGTGAACATCAGGCTGTCCTGCAAAGTCTGTCCCATACCATTGAGTGTCTGCAGCAAGGAGGCCATGAAGAAGGACTGGTGCATGAGAAGGCCCGGCAGCTGCGACGTTCCATGGAAAACATTGAGCTGGGGCTCAGTGAGGCCCAGGTAAGAGGAAGGAGGTGACGCCAAGGGGCTTTTGGAGAAGTATTGGAGATTTGGGGTCATTTAGGATTGCCTTGTCCTAGATGCTTGCATTCATTCATTTATTCATTCATTCAGTAACCCTACTTTGTGCCCAGCACAAGTCCTTTGGGCCCTGAAGAAACATCACGGGACACAACAGTCAAAAATCGTTGCCGTCTCAGAGCTTACATTCTAGTGGCAGGAGGCAAACAATACACAAATAAGTAAATGATTCTGTATGTCACAGTGATAATTGCTAAAGAAAAGGGATAAAAATAAAACAGAGAAGGGGACTAGGGGGTACAGAGACAGGACACAACTTTAGATAGGGTGGTCAAAAAAAAGTCTTACTGAGGGACACCTGAGTGGCTCAGTGGTTGGGCGTCTGCCTTTGACTCAGGGCATGATCTCAGTCCCGGGATTAAGTCCCATATCAGGCTCCTTGCGAGGAGCCTGCTTCTTCTTCTGCCTGTGTCTCTGCCTCTCTCTGTATTTGTCATGAATAAATAAAATCTTAAAAAAAAAAAAGTCTTACTGAAAGGTGACATTTGAGCAAAGATTTGAAGATGAGAGAGTGAGTCTTACAATAAATGGGGGGAAGAGCATCTAAAGCAGAGAGCATACAAAGGCCCTGACCTAGAGCCTTCCCAGTGAGTTCAATGAGGGACCAGTGTGGCTGCAGTAGAGTGGATGAGGTGAAGCAAAATAGAAAATGAAGTGCAGGGGCATTGGGCCTGGCTCAGTCAGTAGAGCATGCAACTCTTGAGCTCAGGGTTGTGAGTTTGAGCCCCATGTTGGGTATAGAGATTACTTAGAAAATCTTAAAAAAGAAAAGAGGGGAAAAAAAAAAGAAAAGAGGGAAGGAAGAAAGAAAGAAAATGAAGTGTAAGAGGTAGAGAGGTTAGGAGCCAAGGGGAACTTGTGTAGGTCATCAGGACTCTGCTTTTACTTTGAATGAAATGAAAGCCATTGGAATATATAGAGCAAAGAAGTGATGTGGTCTCACTTAACATTTTAAAAGAATCATCTGGCAGCAGCTTGAGAACAGACTCTAAGAGAAAAAAGGCAGAAACAGAAAGGTCAGAGTGGAGCCTATTGTCACCTAGGTAGGAACTGATGGTGACCTAGTCCAGGGTGATGGCTTTGGTGGTGTTGAGAAATTGGAGCCAGGGTATATTTTGGGGATAATCCTATCACTACCCGACCCTGCCTCCTGGCGCCTGCCCATCTTGCTGCCTCCTAGTAGGCCTCCCTCCCACTTCATCCCTGAATGCTCCAGTCCGGAGTCTGGTACTTACTTACAGGATGTGCCCACCTAGGTGATGCTGGCTCTGGCCAGCCATCTGAGCACAGTGGAGTCGGAGAAACAGAAGCTGCGGGCTCAGGTACGGAGGCTGTGTCAGGAGAACCAGTGGCTCCGGGATGAGCTGGCGGGCACCCAGCAGCGGCTACAGCGCAGCGAACAAGCCGTGGCTCAGCTGGAAGAGGAGAAGAAGCACCTAGAGTTCCTGGGGCAGCTGCGGCAGTATGACGAGGATGGGCACACCACGGTAAGCACACGCAAACCAGGCTGGCTATGGGGCAGACAGCTGGGAGTCCCCAGAGACCTGGGGGTGATTGCTCCATCAGCTACAGGGCCAGCAGTGCTGTGCAGCCTGCCCCCTACCTGGCAGTATTCAGGTCCTGACACCAACTCTAGATAGCAACAAGGCGCAAACAGTCCTCACTCACTCAGTCAACATGACGGCTGTGTATGCCGGGTACTCCCTCTGCTGAGGATGCAAGAGTGAACAAGGCAGACAGAATTCCTGCTCTCATGGTTAGGGATTTGGGGTTGGGGGTGACACAGAAGCACCTGGACAATTCCAGTCTAGGATCCTAAGTGCTACAATGAGGGAAAGCGTGGCACAGTCTAGCAAGACACTCCTAAAATTTGCTCTCCAAATATATGAAATTTAAGTCTCACTCAATAATCATTTACTTCTTTCTCTGCCTGAGGCAGTGCAGGAGGATGTATGTAAGGGAGATGTAAGAACTGCCTTCTCAAGCTTATAATGTAGCTGTAGGGCCAAGTCTTACATATGAGAACGCGTATGTGATGACACAAAGCAGCAAATGCTCGGTGCTGGATGAGTGGTTCAGTGAGTATGGGAGGAATTCCAAGATGGGTTCGTGGGGACTGGAATGACCTGAGAAGGATTCACAGATGGGATGGGTAGGATTTAGGTTGGAGTTTTTTCATTGCACGGGTTAGGAGTTGGGCTGGCTTTTGAGGTTTTTTTTTTTTTTTTTTTTTAATTTTTATTTATTTATGATAGTCACAGAGAGAGAGAGAGAGAGAGAGGCAGAGACACAGGCAGAGGGAGAAGCAGGCTCCATGCACCGGGAGCCTGACGTGGGATTCGATCCCGGGTCTCCAGGATCGCGCCCTGGGCCAAAGGCAGGCGCCAAACCGCTGCGCCACCCAGGGATCCCTGGGCTGGCTTTTGATGGATGATGAGGGCAAAGGAGGAGCTTTCTAGACTGGGGGTGAGGATATGTCATAGATAAGGCTCCAGGGCTGGAACCCTATCTAGTCCAGGGAGAGTGGGATGATTTGCATGGGACACATTGGCGAGGCTCAGTAGGAGGGTTAGAGGTGTTTGTACAAGCCTGACATGCCTGGTGGGGCAAAGCAAATTTGCCCATGTGGAAGTAGGTGAGACAGTGAGGGTGGGGTACTGAGTTGAGAGGGAGTGGTGGCAGATGATGGGGACGAGGCTGAGCTAGATACTTTGGGTACGTGTCAGTAAGATCATACACACTCCCTGCCCTCAGGAAAAATAGGACAGACATATAATCAGTATAAACACACAGGGATCCGCAGTGGGCTATAATTACAAGAGTTGAGGGGGAGCAGGGTAGAGGCTAGAGAATGAGGGTGCTTAGGGAGCTCTCAATGTGAAAGAAGGAGATTTACAAACAAGAGGGGGGTGAGGCTGCAGACAGATGCTGGCCCTCCCAGCGGCAGGAACATGAATGAGAGTCTTCTCCACCTGTTAGTGATTTCATGGTTCAGAAGGGCCTGAAGAGGCTACTGGAGATATCTTGGCCTAGACATGCTACTTCTTCCCTTCCAGGAGGAAAAGGAGGGTGATGCCACCAAGGATTCCCTGGATGATCTTTTCCCCAATGAGGAGGAAGAAGACTCTAGCAACGGCTGTGAGTCTGTGTCTGGAGTTGGAGGGTGAAGAGGGGCAGCAGGGGGCTGGTTCCAGACGTGGCCTGCCTTGCATATGGGATGCTCACCATCCGGAAATGGGTTCTTTACCTCCCTTGGAGATAGGGTAGGGACAGGGCTGATGCTTTCATTTCCTCAGCCTTCCCATTATCACTAATATTTATTACACAG